AATGTCTTTATTGATTATATTAATCGTGTTGTATTCAATCAATTATAAATTGATTCATGTATGTATCTTTTTAACATAATACAGTTTTCGTATTGTGTAAGAATTATAATATTAATAATGAAAGAGAGAGAGAAAGAGAAAAAGTAAAAAGGACAATTACGTGTCAGAAGATTGCACATTTCGAAATACAAAAATTTGAAGAACGTCTTCTCGGCAAATCGACTAGTGCAAATGTCAATCTGTCATGGTTAAATTGTCAAAAATTTCATTAAAAAATGTGTGAAAATTAAAAAAATGGAGCAATAGAAAAATTCGATCATAAATTACAAATTCACGATGGCAGATGTATAATGGATAAGAATTTTGAAACTGATACGACAAAAATTATAATACATGCCTACACCTATACAGCAATAAACTATTGCTTTAAAATGTAGATGTCGATTGGTATAGGTAAATGAAGATAATTGCAAATTTTTCATGTACATACATGCAATTTATATCAACATTGATCCGTTGATAGTGCCAAGAAAAGCTGCAGAAGCACGCGACAACGATGACTTGAAAAGACATCTTCGTAAAGCTTTCGTCGTCCAGGAAAAACTTGTATTCAGAAATTAAGTCATGAAGCAAACAAATCATTACGTTTCGACCTATCAGAAGGACTATACCTGGCCCTTAGTGTCATCTATATGTATTCAACCTCCGACTAAACCAATCGTTGTTAAAGCTTGCATGTGTACCGATTCGCAGCAAGTACGTAAAGAGTCATGGGATGAGAACCTCGAGGGGTGGAGTCGAATGTGTCCCATGGGACGACTTCTGGAGCCAAAGATTTATCCCAAGATCGAACGAGTTCCCCCGGCGGATGTAAAGCGATTCGATCAGCCACTCAGTATTTGCGTGAGAAAAGAAAATATTCAAAATTTCGTGTAACATAACTGGCCTTTTATGATCTCACAATTAGAATAAGAAGTTTATTTTGTGATATACATGCTTATATATGATATATTCACGTTCACGTTTGGTTTATTATTTCTAGTTTATTTATTTTATATTTTTTCACGAATTTGGGACATTAGTATAACATGCGAAGGGACCTAAAGATTAAGTAAAAAATAATATAATAAATTAACTCCATGTTCAGTCGTTTAAACTGCGCGTCGAATAAATTTTCGGATAAACGGATAAATTTCGAATAAACTTGCAACGCAATTATTTAGCTAACAATGAGGCTGGAATAGAGATATCATATTGATCTTAATAAATTGATGCTTATAAGCATCTTAAAATACTGAAAAAAATTTATTACGAAAAATATTACCTCAACCAGGATTAAACGGCTAAGCATGGAGTTAAGAAATTCATATGGAATTCATTATAGGCACCAGAGATCCAGCCGTGACCGTAGAAGACGCTCTCGAATTTAGTTGTGCGATTCATATACGCGATCTAGTTTTTAAATTATAATTATTGTATAATATAAATTAATATGATATATAAATGTAAAATAAATTAAATTCTGAATTTAATTTTTAAAGCTTGAAGAAGGATATCCTGGATTGTACGATGTGTTAGAGAAATCACTTCCACGTGAAACGACTACGCGGGCGGATGCTGATCGCATGAAAACGACGTATCAAGTTGATTACAGTGATCCTGGTAAGTACGGTAAAAAAAAGCCGGAACATATCATAGATGTCATATATTACACGCGTTTACCAGTACGCTTCTGTATTTTATTATTAGCGTTGTTTTAATCGTTTGAAGAAATTGTGATTTTCTTAGCAGCTGCACGTACGACACAGCGCGACATGGCGTTGACAGTTATCGATGGGAACGGTGAACGCGTACGATGTAGTATGCCAATAAAGATAATGGTAGCTGCAGATTGCCCGTCGTACTGTCGTCTCCCTTCCGTGAAATATAACGGAAATACGGACGTTTGGAAACAGGAACGAAAAATCAGATCAAAACACGAAAAGAAATGCGAGAATGAAAAAAGACTGATGTCATTGCCATCCTGGAAATCAGAGTATCACGATAGCATCAGCAAAATCGGTCATGCCATTATGAAAGCTAAATTACATAACGTAAAAAAAAAAATTGTACCACTCCAGTATCAATACTGTTAATACATTCAGTTGAATGTATCAAAAGACTTGCAGTCAACAGCCAAATTAAATATGAAATCCAATTTTTTTTAATAAACCAATATAAAAAAATCAAAGTTTGTAAACGTATAATAATAATAATAAATATTTTCACCGCCTTTTGAATGTACGAAATATTTCGAGCGCGCATTAAAAATAAAAAAAATATATAATTAAAGTTGTAAAGTATGCATATACATGTTTATAAAGATAATTTGAAAAGAAAAAAGGGAAGATAAAAAAAGATAAAGGGGAAAAGTAATCTAAAAAATGGAGAAAAAATGCTAACTAAGAGAAAGACATACGGTTGATTTTCTAATGTTATTTGTATATTTATAAAAAAGATATATAACCATTATTATATATATACTTCAGATTATGTTGTCATCGTATTTTGCTTTCAAAATCAAAATGTTGCGTGATTGTACAAAAACATGCGATTACAAAATTAATTCGGGATTATCTATAGCTAACCGTGGCTTTAACTAAAATAATTGTCAACGTAAAATATAACTAAAAAAAATCCATACATGTTTACAAAATGATCGATATTGACAAAACTAATTTACCTCGAGTCGACTCGTTTGTCGCGCGCGTTGTAATTACATCATTAAACGCGATATTGCATTATGCGCTCTACAGAGCAACTATCGCGTCGATCGTAATGATGAAAGAATGCGTCGTCTGGATTTTTCGAAGATTATTGAAATTTAACCTAGTCGCGAGCAGCCACTGACATATATTTTATCTCACATGGATTAGACTTTTCGTTTTAAAATATTGGAAATTCTCGGTACAGATTTTGCGATTTGTCCTCGAGAAGGATAAAAATTATCCTTGAGGAATCTTTCCGCAATCATAGGTGAAAAATGTTAAATGCACCGGAAAAGTTTGTCAGTATAATGCATCATGACTTTATTTGGCCTTATGCAAAATCTCCGAAACCGCCCTCACCGCCAATGGATACCACTGGCATTCAACCGTATCTTCTCAGACCCGATCCTGAGGATTGTAAGTGTGATATTCATGGCTTTGAGGCTGGAAAAACTAGGTAAACTCAAGATTTTTCTATGGTCAAAAAATAATTTTCGTTTGCAATAATTTTGGTTTAAAATAATGCCTTTAAAATGTAGCCTTTTGCGTATACGTGTACATACATCGAGTCGGTTTCATTTCATTTTAAAGGTATCGACAGTTAGCCGATAAGGAACGTCGACTTGTCGACGAGCTGACTAAGGTCAATTGCGAAATGACGGATCTCACGTCATCGATGTTAGGTGGCGATTGCGATATGGAAGAGGCAATGAAAAGCATTTACAAAACGGATTATGAGAAGAGGGGTGTGTTCGTAATATTCCACGCACGTCTAACAATATAACCGAGGAAAAAGTTTGAAGAAGAATCTATGCTTTCTCTTTCATTCTTATCTGTTAATTATTGCGATATCAAATTATTTTTCTAGGTCTACCCGTCACACGATACAGATCATTAATGGCAGCGATTGACTCGCCTGTTGGATCACCCATTACGCCGGCAATTATCGATTTGAAAGACGCTTATCGAGATCCGACCAGATTTAGATCCTCAGCTATGGAGAGCTTAACAATTCAACCTGTAAAAACGAGACATCTCTTAAACGACAAACGGGGTAATTATAAATATATTGAATATACGCGTGAACGAGAGATCGTTAAAAAATTGTAACCGGTAAATATATCTTGTTTCATATAATTGAATATTATTTGCAGTTCCAGGAACATGTTCCTTCTGGACCGAGCAATTTACTGGATGCTCCGAGTATATGGATACCATTAGCAAAATGGGTTTAACTAATATGAAAAATCAGCAGCGATATTTGGCGCCTCTCCCTGTGTTGAGAAAAATTGGCGTTTGCAATTCTTCTATTAAAAGTAATGTATAGAAATATACATGAATTCAATTCGTACATACATATATAAAAATGATTAATGTTATAATAAAAAATAATAATTTAAATTGTATAAAGTGTGCAAAATTAAAAAAAGCATAATAGTCTTTTGGCAATTTTCATATATTAGTGTTTGGATAAACAGAATTATCTTTTTTATCTTTCTGTAGACTAAATCATAAAGCCAAAATGACAAGAAAAAGCGAGGCGAGAAAAGACACAAATACTAATATACATCATATATCGGAAAATATATAAAATAAAATATATACGTATAATATAAAATGGCGCATTTAAGATTAAATGTAAAAATTATACATTTATAAGAGGTCTAAAAAATCTGTTTTATATAAAATATGTAGTCTAGATAATGCTGCTCTAAAGTCATTTTAAGCATTACACAGTAAACACAACATTGACACGAACACGGACACGACGCGAACACGCGGGATGTGTTTACTGTATAATACTTGAAATGATTTTAGCGCAGCATTATCTAGACTACATATTTTAATAAATACTAATAATAACTATAGACAGAGAGAAAGAGATGGATTATAGAAAATTATAGAATTAAACTTTTTACAAAATAGAAATGTGTAATTATTCAATTCAAAGGATAAAAAGAATATAAGAAATATACAAATAAGGCAATTCGTTTTTTCTTTTGTTTAGATAATTTTTTATTTCATATTATATCACATTGTGATAGTCCGCTCGAGTTTCGCGAGGAAATTGTTTTGCGAACAATTCTTTCAGGTTACTTTTATCTATAATTCGAGAATACAGATTAATTACACGATCGTTTCATTAAGCAATTACGTGATTCACTTGGTCCTCGTATATAAATTTACGTATGTTGTAACATTTCCAATGATAAAAATATAATAAACTATATTGATACATTCGATTGTTTGTATTAGAAGCTCGAACTAAACATTTGATCAATTACATGAATTAAGTACAGTGAAAAAATCTATAATATCTACATAGTACGTATGTATATACAAACTTTGTGTATTACATATTATCTCAGTTTAATGAAAATGTTGTCGTACAGAGATAATAACAATATAAAGTTTGGGGTATGTTACAGTAATAGGGTCGTAACTTAATAATTGTATCAATACATACACTGTATATATACATTTAACTATCAAACTAAGAAAATCCCGACTTGGAACTAAATGTTACAATTAACCGTTCAAAGTTTCACTATAAGTGTGCAGTACGAATACATAAAATAATAACTAATGACTCTCTCACATCTGTATCACATGTACAAAGATGTTTATTTTTCTAAAAAAATCTCAGCTTTTTCGATCTTTACATATATCATATCCAATAAAATATCACGACAATTCTTGATAATTGTTTGCGTCGACACAAGAAAATGAAAAAAGATATAAATGTATGTATATACAATAGAATAGGTGGGTAAAACTGATTTTTTTATACTTTGTCTTTATACATAATTTAGCTTATATTTGTTATAAAATACGTAATTATTTCATATTCGCACTGTAAGACTTGCAGTGATTCATTACAAACATTTCGTATTACTTCGAATAAATAAAAGATAATAAATATTTCTGTAACATTTTACGATATCAATTAAAATCAACATTAAAAAATATTTAAAGAATCTTTATCGTATCAACAACATACATATGCAATTGTGAAATATAAACGGAACATGTCTTCGAGACCTTTGGTAATTATTACTTACATATATTATCAGGGCACAGCTTTATAATATAGGCAGATATTAAAGACGTGGTTTCATAACTTTGAAACTAGTTTTCTTATTAGCTAAAGCTTCGGTGCGCGCACACACGTTCTCTGAGCTGCGCCTAATGACGTCTATATATTCACTTGACGCTTGAATGTCACACTGTATTTTAGCTTCATCGTACGAACAGCACTCCGATCTTGGTGCACTTAGAATTGACGTGTCGACCTGGATACAAAGTGGACATTTTTAGATACCAAAAAAAAAAATGTAGAAATGAAAGATACTAATTAACATCTAAATTTACCATTGGCTCGTTTCTTACAATACCATGAGGCCATTTCTCAGCATGTTGAAGATATTCCGATTTATTCTCTCTGTAAAATAGTTTATCATGTATGTGTACGTGAAATATAATATAATGTGTATGTGTACAGTCGTGGACAGATCGGTTGCGACACTTTTTTTTTTTATTTGGTTTCGGAACGCACTAATATTTTGCAAATGCGAACCACGATTGGTGTATTGTTCCTAGACCAAAGATAGTACATACACCGATCGTGGTTCGTATTTGCAAAATAATGGTGCGTTCCGAAACCAAATAAAAAAAAAGTGTCGCAACTGATTTGTCCACAACTGTACATAAAATATTAAAAAATGATTAACCCCAGGTATACACATTATTTTTTTGACGGCGTCGTATACATACTGGGGTCCCAAGGTCCCATCCATATTTATTATTGTAACTCTAGTAAAAATGTACATATTTCAATTAATTTTTTTTTCAATCGATAGAGACTCGACCAAGGAACAAGCCCATAATGTTTAAAAGTCGATAGAATTAAGGAACTTCAAGATATACGGGTTCAAAGAACAAGGAAAGTTCAAAAACGCGAAAAAATCTCGATTTAGCATCTTTTTTCGAAAAATTATATCTCTTTTGTTTAGAAATCGATTTGAAAAATCCTTAAAGGGCATACTTGAAATAGTAACAAAAAAATTTGGCGATCCGATATTTTAATTTTTTAACAAAACTGCAAGCAGTCCTGGGGACCCCACTTCAACTGTTCACTACTCGGTTGTTGAGCGACAATTGTCGCGCGTCAACACGTCTTCCTACTGAGGAGATCCCAAACTTTTTTTACGTCAATATCCCAAACCCCTCCCCTTTCAATTTCAGAAATGCCAAACCGAGAAAATTTCGTTTTGTAGTCCCGGGGACCCTAGTGAGTATATCTAGGGTTAATTTTTTATACACATGCAATTATATCTACTTATGTACCTGGATTCAGAGCTGGGTTTTCGCCGTAATGTAGCATTCTTTGCGTATTCTTCCGTATAGCCACAAATGGAATTTGTTCTTTGTTTCTGCTCTGATTCCTCATAAATACATACATCGTTTAAAGATGAGCATGATTTAACAAAACATTCTCTGCTGTGGATGGCAGTTTCTGTGAGTGGATCTTGTCCATGAACACTGCTATTTTGTTCGCCGACGATTGTATTACTCATGTCGTAACTCTGTGAAACGTCATTTCTGGAATTATGCCTTTTACTGTATTCGCCATTCTTTAACGCACTGTCTATCGCATCCTTGACGTTCTGTAAATTGTCATCGTACGAGAACACGTTATCGTCGATTTTTTCCTTCCTAATAACATGGTTACCATTCGAGCTCTCATCTACGTCATTTTGGCTACCACTGAGAGCCATTTCACAGCTGCTTATAGAATTGGAGCTTCTGTCTCGGGCACTCACAGAGCTCTCCAGGCTATCCGCGACGTTCCTTGCCTTGGAAACTGATGTAGGTATCATAATTTCGATGTTGCTCTCAATAACGATCTTATCGTTGATTTCGACAAAATCCTTTTTATCTTTAAGAGTTATATTATCGATATTGTTCAGAATGGCACTGTTCAACGTCTCATTACTGCTATTACTCAATCTATCCTTAGCCAGCACCAAAGTCTTATTGTCAATGGCACTTTCTTCCGATTTACAAATTCGCTTTGACTGACTACCCAGCGCAGGCGATTGAAGGACAGGTTTGTCTAAACCCTGATCCAAAGAAGATCCAAGAGACGACTTTATATTCTTTAGTTGACTCATTGATCGAGACGAACGATGGCATTTCTCAAAAATTATTTTTTGCAATGGTGGTGTGAGAGGTGGATTCTGTTTACCATTGCCACTTTCGGTGTCCAGCGATGAGGTAGAAAATGTACGTTTCGAATCGTCCAAACTACGTAAAACAATTCAGAGATGCAATAAAAATAAATACATATATAATTAATAATAAATGCAGGGTTGGAAAAGTTACTTTGTAAAAGTACTTAACTAGTTACAGTTTTTGTCTCTCAAAAAATAACTAGCTATCGTTACAAATTACCGACTCTAAAAAGTAACATGTTACAGTTACAGTTACTCAAAAAGTAACGAATCGTTACTTTTCAGTTACTTTTAAGTTATTTAGAACAACAGTTAATTAAATTAGCTTTATAAAAAAAGATTTACATTTACATATTATATAATTTTATTTGAAAAATAAAAGTAATGCGCATATTTAAATATGAGCATTTAAATATTTCGTATAATTACAATCAACATTACGATTAGATAAGCGAAAGTGTTGCATAATTTTGATCTATGAAAATAACGATTTGACATATACATGTAAAGTAACTGTAAAAGTAACTATTAAATTAGTTACTAATTACTTAAAAAATTTAAGTTAAGTTACAGTTACACATGAAAGAAAGTAACAAAGTTACATTGAAAAAAAGTAACTGTAACTTCGTTGCTTCCCAACCATGATATAAATGTACTGTGTATACGTACTGTATCTGATTGGGCTTAACGTTGATTAGCGTAGCGAGATTCGGCAACGTTGCTCTTAAATCGGTGGTCGGGAGGCCACAGTACCATCGAAGCTGTGCTATATTTTTATTTAATAGATATACAGCGTAATGGAATTGTAATTTATCCTTGCTCCGAGCAAACAGTGGAAATCTAAAAATAACATGTTAACGATAATATATCGCAATGTGCATCTATATGCTAATAAAGATAATTACAAGTAATTCTTACTGTCTATCGTTGTCGGGCAAATTTTCTGTGATATGATCAATAACTTTGCTGCGCGAGCCGTAATGTATGATAGGATATCTGGTCGGTATATTCAAAAAATTTGCAATCATCTGTGTCGTATGTGCAACAAAACCCAATGCCACAGCCACCTGCGTGTCATTCGATAAATCCAATTCCTCGCTGTCTGGCAGATAAACGTCATTTATTCTAAACTTTCCAATACTGTCCTGCAAAATCGAAGAGAAAACGCTAGTCATTCAACTTGATTACAATTCCGAATGCATTATTTTTCTGTCGATATACCTGTCTAATGGGATATATTAAACACAGTTCTGAGATTAATTGTCGTCGCCTCTGCGCAAGTTGGTTGCTCAACTGCAAATAGGTTTCCCTCGAATCTATGTGATTTTGCCGCCACTCATTTAGCCTTTCTATGTCTTTGTTCAGCTCCCTATATCTTTCCATTAAATCAGAACCTAGAAAACGAAGAGTTTTCTCTTTCAAGGTTGCCACAAATTCTTCATTCTAAAATTCCATGACTTTTCCCTGACTTACAGACAAAATTTCATGGATTTTCCCTAACTGTCAATAATATTAAAATTTTTTCGTATATTCGTTTAATTTGAAAACTATTTGGAAACCGTTAAATATTTTGTTGAGAGAGCAATTTAACATAGCAATGCAAAACACTAGTATTGTTGTTAGTATTCCTTTATCTTTTTCTTTTATATATGTGTACAATTCTTTTCCTCTGCTTACAATACAAGGAACATTAAATATAGATTCTTATTAAATATAGAACACAGTAAATATAGATTCTTTTTGATAAAAACTAAATCCTGTTTATCGGAATCTCCGACTTGATATTATACAAAGATTTACAAACTCGAAAGAAGAATTACAAAAATATAAAGTCAATTTTAATTTTATTAATTTTATTAATTTGTTCACAAGTGACAAGAAACTTACAAGTTTAAAAAAAAAAACAGTTTTAAATAAATTTAAAATTCCAACAAAAAGTAGACAAGCTGAAAGTTCTAATGCTTTCATGAAGTATTTTAAATCTCTATTAAAAAGAGAGTTTACATTTACTAACAAAACTGTATAAGTATGTGATATACGCATATTAAACTTCTTTAAAGCTAAGAATTTTAATTTTCCAGAAAATTTTGTAAAATAGCTTTTCCCTTCCATAGATTTCCAGTTTTGTGGCAACCCTGCCTTTATTTAGAATATCCGCAATATAAGCAACATACGCGCGCACATATACTAACCTTGATCTTGATTTTCTTCAACAATATTAGTGTGTAATTGATTCAGTACACGAATCTCTCCCATTTTTCGCGCTCTCTCTTGCTCCAACAATTTTGTTCTAAATTTAGCCATTTCCAGCTCTTTACGTATCTTCATAATCTCCAATTTCTTTTCCCTGTTGACTCTCCGCGGTTGTAACAGTCTGTTCAAAGTTGTCTGTGGATATTTGGGAGTGTGAAAATCATCACCGGAGGCGATGCGCACTCTGAGCGCTTGCACCGACTCCGTTTGTTGCTTTAGTGCCTGCATTTTGCTTCTTAAACTGCTAAGCTTATTCACGGTATAACTGTTCTTTACTTCAGATGCAGTCATAGTCATATAAAGGTAGCGCTTCGAGTCCAGAGCTGCTGTGAAACAGTACGCGGGGGTAAAGTATCCACCGTGAAAATAGAATATCAAAGAATTTTCCTTTAGGATAGTCTCCAGATTAGGTGGTAGCTTAGGACCGATATACGCCAATCCTGTGAACGACACTCCCCATGTAAAGAGGGTCACATCGGCTGTATTATCGCATGGCATCGAGTGTTTCCACACCCTCAGGATAATCTCTGTTTAAGAGGATAGAATTATTTCTCTAAATGTCTAACGAAAGTAAAAGTAGAGTATTTAAAAAAAGACGATAAGGTAAATAATGAACCAACACATTGTATGCTTATACCAAGAGACACAGCATTTATCGTACTAACAAATAGAAACGCTCACCACTAGCCGTTGAATAACCTGTGGCATGCAGGGTCGGCACTTCGAGACTTGACCACCTTGGATTAGCATTGTCGATCGCCTCGCTTGTGTACAATGGAGACGACATGCTTGATCTGTGTAACGTGTAATAGAACCAACATATCTCCCCATTTACATTAGCTTTCAAATTATGGCCTATTATTTGTACTAAACCTCTGAGCCGCAACTGAAAAGAGAAAATTTTAACCAATATATGTCAAGTGACGCTTTTGCTCGGAAAATATATATTATTTTTCTCAACATCAACTTTAATTTATGGCTCACCTGTTGGGTGGCGAGGGGAAGCCAGGTTTTATATCGCGGGGCGATTCGCGGTTGTAGGGTTAGATCTAAATCCTTAACAAGATTTCGCGATTCGGAAAGCTCCATCGTGCAACTTCATAGTACCGCGATGGTATCATTCGGTCGACAGAGATAGTTTACGTCGGTGTGAGAGGAAGACAACACCGGACGGCTTGATCGAAACAAAATAAACGTAATTGTAAACCGCGTACGCGCGCAGGCAGGTTATACCGATTTCTCACGATTAAAATGCAACTAAATAAATTTTGTATTCAGCAACTGATAAGCGTATTAACTACGGAGAGGCTAACTGGTCGTTAAGTCTCACGTCACGACTCGAGTCATTCGATCGCCCATACGTGTAATCTGCATCCCACAGAGAAGAGAACGGACGTGATAACATTTGACAAATTCTGACAGCTCCTCACACACACGGCCCCCTGCAGTCCTCTGCAGCCCCCTGACGGCCGGGTTTGACAACGCCAGCAATGGTCAGAGCCGGCTTAAGGTATTTTTGGCCCAGGGACTAATATTAAAACGGAGCCCCCTTATTATTAAATAATAACAATGATTTAAATGATTTAAAATACATACGTACTTTGCGTTTGCTATTTAAAAAACGTGATTGTTTGTATGATTTTGTTGTTTCTGCTTAAAAGATACAAGACAGTTACTGAATATTGAAAAATAAACACATAAAAATAATTCACATTTTATTGAAATTAGTGGTACTTAAATTTTTTTTCTGAGTTCATTGTACGCAAATTCATTGATTAAATTACTAAAATCAAAATTTCTCAGCAGTTTGCTCTCTATAGCTATAATAATGTCAATGACGATAGTCTATATCAATCATTGGGAATTAATATTTATTTTTTATTATTGAAATCAACAATTTTAAGCTAAGGGGCCCCCTAGAAAGATGGAGCCCAGGGCTACAGCCTCTTTAAGCCCCTTTCTTAAACCGGCACTGGCAACGGTCAATGTTAACGTAAACAAAACACTCTAAAAAAAATTGTATGATCGCATTATATCCTTAGAACATATATGCATGTTCTAAGCATTATCGCATCATTCATAAGCTATCCATATTTATTTTTTGTTCAATCAACTTATTTTGAATAAATTTCTTTTCTTCAGTTTGATCAGAGGCTTTTTTATTTAGGGTTAATAAATTGTTGCTTTCAAGCAAAGTTGTACGCAAATACATTCAAGTTAAATTGAGCAGCAATGATGTTAAAGTGCTATAAATACATTATTTCATTCTGTTTTATTTTTTGAGAGACCGGTATATACGTCTCGCCTTATCTAATTGCTTATATTGGTTATTACATAAAAATACAAAAATAAAAAATAAAAAAAGCAATTTGTAAATACCAACATTAGATAATAATTTATAATATATATTATAATATATATCTATATACGGTAAATATTTGCATTTGATAATAATACAATTATACAAACAAATATATTTGCAAGATAAAGTACCGACAGGTACGTATAGTACGTAATTTGATATAACTATATATTATATGTTGTGATAAATCTATCTGCTATCGTGTATATCCGATATCGTTTGATAACGATTGAATAACATATTTTAATTGATGTAAAAGAATTTCGCTATCTTCGAAAAACTATAATTATATAATTTCTCAAAAATAATCAAATAAATAGATATTAATAGAAAATTACAAAAAATTCATAGAAATTCGATTAGATATAATTTAATGTTATTTGCATATATATATGAGTAATAAATAAGACAATGATTATATATGTAAGTTATCTATACTAAAATAATTAAATAGGAGAGATCAAGGGTCACTATAATGTATTTTATATACGGTTTCATTGAATTTTATATGTATTTTCAACTATACGTATGTGGTCTTTCTATAAATGTTTTAATTCTACTTTTTTATTTTTTTATAATTCTCCAATTTATATTTATACTATTTATACTGTTCTTTTTTTATTATAGTCATACATTATTTATTTCATTTTAATCAATTACGTAATTAGTTTAATAAATTTTTCATATTATTGCTGATAAAGACATACAAAACATTTAGTGTTTGCGAATCTTGAATATATATGTATAATAAATTACTTATTTTTAAACAACATATCAACATTGCTTGTTATTGGCTGTCTCTTCTACTTTTATATATTATTGCATTACATAAAAATTAAATAAGTGGAAAATTTATGTTTCAAGAACAAATTTTTTCTAGTAAATAATTTTCTAAAATAGTCTCTAACAGACATTTAACTGATTCAATAGAAATAGAAATTAATTCATAGAAACAATTTTTTATTGCTAGTAAACATTTTTGACAATAAATTGCTTCTTATAAATTAAAATAAAAATTTTATTTTATTTTATAATGTTGCGCCCTTTATCCTATATGGTTTATTTGTTTATGAGAAATACAGACTCCGCCATGTATTACTTTCAGTTGATTTTAAGAATGAAGAGTTCAATGTTTGGATCCATGTTTGGATTTTTTTTTAGAGTAAGTTGTATAATATTTGCAGCAAGAAGTTATTGGTTATATAATATGTATTAATTGATGCAAGTAATCAGTGATGAATTTATTATTTATAGTATTCATATCATAATTAATTATTGAAGAAAAATGTTTTCTTAATATTAACAACTGTTAAGGCTTAATATTAACAATTATTAATCTGTTAAGTTTAAGTAATATTTATTTGATTTAATAAAATAATTTTCCATTGATAAATAATTGTGTTTTATTCGAATAAAATGTTCTCCTTCATTAACAAATTATTTTCTTTTAAGAAAATATTTTATTGGAACAGGAAGCATTATTTGCTTTAAAGATATTTTATTGGACAAAAGAGATTTATTATAAATAATTATTTCTTTCAATTTATAAATTATAATTCAAGAAAATTATTTACTTGAAACAAATAAAGTTTTTTCTGTGTATAAATTATGAAATTAATGAGTGGAAGTTATCGATAATTAAATATTTTTAGTTTTCTTGTTAGAAAAAAGACATATAAAATATATTAATTTATTATTGCGATTAATTTATAGTTATATAATCAAACAATGAATTTCAAGAAATGTTTCTCTGGATGTATATTCGTTGTGGATATTACTTTTAGAATCAGATCGTAAATCAAAATAAGAAATAACTCGAACTAATTGTAACTCGCGCAGAGTGTGTAGAAAATAGTGTAAAAGATCAAATGTAAAATATCGAAATGTGAGTCTTGAGTGGTAGTATAATACGAGCGAATAAATGAGCAAATATGAGTAAGAAACTTAGTTGAAACTAATATTATTGAATATATATGGAAGTCAAGATATATTCAACAACAATAGTTTTAATTTATAATCTTGATATTATCTGCGAACGAATCCAGCGTTATGTAGCATATTATAGATCTTTTCTCTTGGGATTTTGTCTGTGTCTCGGTCAATTACCTGTAACATTAAATGAGTATTTTAAAAAATTACAGTCAATCCGAACTATTCGATTTTGAGACATTTAAATACAACTTAACGTAATAATTGAATACTTGAATAGTAATGTAAGGTCTGTCACTTGCAATTATTTCTTTAATTGTTATTAAATAACAATGAATTGTTATTTGTTATATGTTAATGATGTAATCTCATAATTATACTTGTAATTCTGAAGAAGTATAACATATAGTATGTTTCTGCAATAGTAAGTATTAAAATATTAAATAATGTATTAATTCATAATTGATAGAAATATAGTACCTATTATATTATAATTCGTTTTATCTTTATTCCTTTGTTTAAAAAATCAAATAATTAGACAAATAATAATAACTATTTAAGGAACAAGTAATTAGTGCAAAAAATGTTTAATTGTAATATTTTATCTGGATAAATTACGAAAATGATGTACCTGCATTTCCTTATCAGTGAACCAGGATTCCTTAGCAAGACTAGCAGCGATACTTGGATTTTTATAGAAATTATTCCGTAATTGATTAGGTAAATTATCTTCCATTGCAGAATTAATTATGACAGCTGGATGAGCGAGCATCGTTTCGGGAGTCAAAAGAAGAATCGGCGTAGCTGCGCAAGTTGCCATCATGATGAATAAGAAAATATTCGTGTAGTTAGTCGACATTTGATGCTCTAATGCTTTCCTAAAACATCGAAAAATTCTTGTAAAAAAAATTCGAGCAAAGATAGAATTTAATTTAAAACTAAAAATTATTCATTGTAGAATCATTGCATCAGATTAGATTCAAGTGCAACTATATCTACTTGCCATGACGTGTTGTAAACAATTCTTTTATCATTTATTTTAATTATTATATTCTATTAAACAATAAAATGCATGCCTTGATAGCAGATTACAAGACTAGCGGACAATACGGTTAATGAAGGAAATTGTAAATAGCTTATCTTATTATGGTCATCTTCAAACTTTATAACTTTTATTTAAAACATTTTTTTCAAAAATGTATTGTTTTCGAGAAATGTTGGTGTTTAAGTTAAAAATGGAACACCCTGTGTAATTCTGTTTAATTCAAACTAACTCTCAAGCAGAACATGGATTCATTTTATGTCAAAATTATGTTAAAATAAATTGTGACGAAACATGACCTTTTTAAAATCATTTTGAAACTATTTTGACGTCATTTTGATGTCATAATTGCTTGTTGTTCTGCATGCTTGAGCATATTCTATGAATTCTTGACTTAATGTAATGTATTTTAAGCACATTATTGTATGCTATAAATATCATTTAAGTGAAAACTAATTATCGACTTATAATTGGTTTTTGTCGTAATGTTGCTTATTACAGTTTGTTAAAAGAGCATTTTTCACGTGTCTCACTTTGCAATGCAAATACCGATCGCGAAAATCATCCAATCGCGCAAGATTTCGCTTTAGAAACTTACAACTCACTTTTCAGATGATAAAGGATTTGCAATACTTTGCAACGAAGTGGCGTTTACCTCGCGCGTATCTAACTGGGCGCGAGATCCATGAAAACAGGACTTATATACGTACGCGTTGTCTGACCGGTGTTCTCGATACACACAAGTTAAAATCATATCCGACAACCCTTGGTCGTTCACTAGCCCAGAGGCTCCGCTGACTCCTTCTTTCACGTTTACCTTCAGACAAGGTCGCTAATCCTCTGTTAACTGAGTCAAGGGTGATGATCTTTTCAACTCTTACTTTGATCATAAATATTGCGAGATAGGTACAATGTCTATCGCAGTCTTACATGAACGCGATAGACATTGTACCAGATGTAATTGTAACTAATTGCCCAAAATACCCATGCAATTGTATACCTGTAATTTGAACATCGATTTGGATGTCTTGTACAGTCAAACTTGGACAAATAAGTTGCGACACTTTTTTTTATAAGTTTCTGATATATATTTAATACATATAATATATTTTATAGATAACTTATAATATTTTGCAAATGAAAACTACGATATACTAGTCTATAGAGACAGTATGACATCAATTAATCGTGGTTTGCACTTACAAAATATTAGTGCGTTTTGAAACCTATAAAAGAAAGTGTCGCAACCTATTTGTCCACGACTGTATGTACGTGTCTCTGAAAGAGTTCGATTCCAAAACGAAGAGTATCGAATCGAAAGCCCGATTTATCATTCTCGCGATCGAGTTCAGTCACATATGCGAATAGCATTTCCAATGAAACTGACTGTTTTCCGGCTTGCGTATTATGCGTGTCACGCTTGGTCGTAAGTCAGAACCGGATTCGGTTTTAGTTAAATTTGTACCAGTTTTCTATCACGGGCATTATACCGGGAACGATAATTACTAGTTCGAAGCATCGACCAACTCTCCCTTCTTAAAATTAATTTTAAAATAAATAAGTATCTAAAAAATAAATATAATAGGTATGTAAATATATTTATTTTAAATGAAAATTCTGACGTAATCGATAAACTTTAATCTGTGAAAATTTTTTAGGATTACATGACATATATACGTATAATCATCATTATAATGTACATATAATATGTGTATATTAATTACAAACACGTGCTAGTTTTGATTAATAAAATTAATAAATAAACATAAAACTAATGTCAATTTAACGCTCAATATTTATTTATCATTATTTGTAATTAAATATATTTTAAACATATATTTGAACGATGTTGCGAGTAAATAAAAAAACATTTTGAAGATTCATTTTATGCGTTGTTGATATTATCTTGTGCAATTCAAATTACATTCTTTTTGCGTATACATTCATGGAACGTATTGTCTTGTAATTTTATTTTATATATATTTATATACAGATACTATCCCTAAAATTCTTTCAATGAAGCAGAGTAAATTTCACGATCGTTACAGATGAGGGAATGGAACCTTTCGTATTATTCAGGTCAATGTTACGGCCTTATAAATGACCAGCGTCACAGTGGTTACCCTTGTCAAGTAACGCAGGAAGGTTTCAGGAAGTTGTTAACACTGTCATGGACCATAATCAATCTGTAAGATCTGAAATATAAAGACAAGGAGAAAGGCAAGGGAAGATTAATATAAATGAAATATTATTTAAAAAAATATATATATATAATAATGTAAATTAACGCATTTACTCCTTCATATAATAATTCTCCTTCATATAAATAATTCTTACGATTTGTATGAATGCTTGTTATAGAAAAAATATTAATTATTAATTTTTAATCACACAAGGTGTTACATGTGATAAAAAAGATATTTTTTTTAATTAGTGCTCACACCTTGTACGCATTTTATGTAAAAATTTCGACAATTGTACTACGAATCACGGCTTTTATTTATTAGTTAGATCTTAATTAGAAACATTATATTTTAGCACTTAAATACATTTTTTTTGTCAAAACTGATTTAATATTAAATAATTTTGAACTTACACTGAATGTAGGTTTATTTTCATAAAAATAAACAAAGGATAAGAAAAAATATTTCTTTATTAGCGCAACTTTTTATTAACTCTAGAAAGATTTGCATTAATATCTTTCAATTTTTTGTATCTCTTTTTTTATGTTATAATATAAAAATTTTACACATTAAAGTCTGTCAAAAAATATAAAATTTCCGTTTTATGATAATATATTAGAACGCCGAAGAGATAGTTTTCTGATAAACCGGGATTGCTGCGTGAGCCACTGCGGACGTGAGGGCCTTCCCAACGATCGGTATGGATCCGTGCACTTGCACATGATCCACACGAGCGGTCTTGATCAACGTAGGTTGCTGCACGGAGACTCTTTCGATTTTCGTGGCAGGCTCCACGATATCGTATTCCTGAAAAGTTTCGATCGGTTTACTGATAACAATACGACGAGTGGAAACGCGTTCTCCGGTCGGCTCTGCGTGTTCCGGAGTTGGCGTCGCGGAAAGAACACGTGCTCGGACATGCCCGGCGTCTCCAATCAATGTTCCAGTTGTATCGTCACGATTAAAACCCAACTGAAAATTGTGAAATTATTAACACTTACATATAAGTTTGATTTAAAAAATGCTGTGTATTAATTGCATTATGATACGATATAACTACATAAATATTTTATAGATATACAGTCACGAAACTAATTGTCCGGACAATGCATTAATATATCTATAATTTCTAAAAATTCAAGATAGAACAACTTTGTCAAAAATTATTGTAACGAGATTTTTAAAAAAGCATTTTACAGCTTGAAATCTCCATTTTTTAAGTTGATACTTTAGAAAACGATTAACTAATTTCCTTCGGAGTTGCATTGATGACAAATGGAGATATGACAAATTGCAAAATTTTTTTCTAACTTTGCAAAATTTCACGGTCCGAAATTAGAATCGCACAAAAAACGCGGTCTACAGTCTTTAAAAGAATAAATCTTTTTCTTTAATTTGTTTTTTTGTTGAGCGTTGTACGATTTTTTTTCACCGAGTTATTCAACTTTGAAGCAAAAATGACCTTTTTTGCTTCGATGTTAAATAACTCGATAAAAAAAAATCGTACAACGCTCAACAAAAAAACAAATTAAAGAAAAAGATTTATTTTTTCGAAGACTGTACACCGCGTTTGTGTGCAATTTTTATTCAACGTTATGGAACTTTGCAAAGTTTCTTGCAAAGTTCCAAAATTTTGGGGAAAATTTTGCGATTTGTTACACCATTTGTATCTATGCGGCTCCGAAGAAACTCAGTTAGTCGTTTTCTAAAGTATTACTTTGAAAAGTGGAGATTTCCAGCTGTAAAATGCTTTCTTAAAAATCTCGTTAAGATCATTTTTAATGATGTTGCTTTATCTTGAAATTTTGTTCACCGAGTTACAGTCACGAAACAGTTCAGACACAGGTATTGGGAATTTATTTTTTGCTATAACTTTATCAAATATTGTAATTTTATAAAGATAATAGTATTTAGAAGTGAAAACTATTCCTAGTAATACATTTTCATCAAAAGTATTAATCAAATGTGTATTATATATTTAAATATACAGATTTAATCAATAAAATAAATAAAATCCCATCAAATCAAAAAAGGTAATTTTTGCTTTAAAGTTGAATAACTTGGTGAAAAAAAATCGTACAACGCTCAATAAAAAAGCAAATTAAAGAAAAAGATTCATTTTTTGAAAACTGTACACCTCGTTTTTGTGCGATTTTTATTTCGGGCCGTGGAACTTTACAAAGTTAGGAAAAAATTTTGCTATTTGTCATATCTCCATTTATATCAATGCGACTCCGAAGAAAGTCAGTTAATTGTTTTTTAAAGTATCAACTTGAAAAATGAAGATTTTAAGCCGTAAAATGCTTTTTTAAAAATCTCGTTACAATAATTTTTGACAAAGTTGCTCATCTTGACTTTTTAGAAATTATCGATATATTAACGTATAGTCCGGACAATTAGTTTCGTGACTGTACATATATATACATATATATGATAAATAGTATTAGACAGTCGTAACAGACTTCTGTGTGTGTATGAGAGAATTAATATAATCTACAGCTACTTAAGAAACTAAAATAAGATTAGACTGCAACTTGTATCATTAGATACAGAAAATCGTGCAAAAAGATTATAAATAATTTAAATAATTTAACATCGAAAAAGTTGATCAATCATAATAACTGCAGAAGTGCTGTGAACATCGCTGGTTTTAATCTTCTTTAATATTAAGGAATAAATATTTTTAAAAACAACTTATCACTTGTGGCATACAAAGATGACATTCAATTTAATATAATACAAAGTATTGTATTTGATATATTTATGGATCTATACTCACAATCATATTAGAATAGTGGAATATCAATTATCTTGAAACAATATCTTATATTTAAAATTCTCAAAAATTTTTAAATAAAAGTTTAAGACTAATTCTTTTCACGTACTTTGTATGCGAAATCTCTTTTTATGGCAAGAATTTCCACGTACCTCGGCAACACCGCCACGAGCAGTTAGGAGTTCAATTAGTCTATTTTGATTGATTTTACTATTCTCGGCACTGAGTTTTTGACTAGGTATTACAACTGGAGAAAGATCGTGAGCGGCTAATCGCGTGTTAGGCACATCTATGGGTGCTCCATTTGATTCGGCAATCACATGAGGCTTAGAAATGCGAAACTGTAAAAGAAAGACATCGAAAAAAATGTAATATGTGTATTTTGTTGAATAATTATAAATTTAGTTATTTATAAAAGTCTAACGAGTGTCTATAGAATGCTCTTCAGTAGAAAAAATTATCAAAATCTCAACAAGACTTTTTTTTCTGACGACTCTGTGCTCTTCTTGCATAACTTTATGCTTGTTCTCTGATTCACTTTATTGTAGGGAATATTTAACGTATGTACGAATAAAACAATACATCTTGTTGTAAAATATTACTTATTTATCGAACAAAGATTATTGCCAGAGTTGAGAAAGTTACTTTGTAAAAGTAATTAATTACAGTTACAGTTTTTGTCTCTCAAAAAGTAACTAGTTACCGTTACAAGTTACCGACTCTGAAAAGTAACATGTTACAGTTACAGTTACTCAAAAAGTAACGAATCATTACTTTTCAGTTACTTTTAATAGAACAATATTAGCATTATAAAAAAAGATTTACATTTACATATTATATAATTTTATGTCAAAAAGAAAAGTAATGCGCGTGTTTAAATATGAGCATTTAAATATTTCGCACAATTACAATCAATATTACGATTAGATGATCACGAAAGTGATGCACAATTTTGATCCATGAAAGTGACGATTTGACATATACATGTAAAGTAATTGTAAAAGTAACTATTAAATTAGTTACTTAAAAACTCTAATTGTAAGTTAAGTTACAGTTACACATGGAAAGAAAGTAACTGTAATTGTAACTTCGTTACAAGTAACAAATTACTTCCCAACTCTGGCATTATTCATACATTTTCTTAACAAATTTATTATGATAATTAAATAAAAAATTAATTTCTTTTGACATGCCTCAAAGACGTTCAAGATAAAGATCGCCGATGCGTGAGATTGCTTACCTGAAGAAGGCGCGCTTGATTGGCAACGTTGCGGAAGTCAGGGTTTTCAACTACAATGGATTCGTTCTCCAAGCTGTTAGAACCGGAAGTGATGGGCGTAGGTGTTGACGAAGGAAGTAACAGAGGTGACGGTGTCGCATGAATTATCGGTGCGTGAGAGATGACAGGCGCGACCGTAACGTGGACCGGTGCGTGTGCAATTACGGGAATGGCGGCTGGTGCAGCCGGTGCGTCGGCGACAGCGCCGGCATGAGCATAGATGCCGTGGACTTGAGGATAAGTTAGAGGTAGATTGTTAGTTACAGACTGAATCACGGCCGATCCCTTCTGTATCTTGGATGTCGGCTCGTCGAGTTCAACTACGGCTGATCCAGCTGGACGGATAATTACTCGTTCTTCAATATCGTAAAATTGTTTTTGGATCGCTGGGCGACGTACCTGATATACATAGTTATTGCGTGCGAATAACATATAAAAGTAAATATAGAAGTAACAAAAATACACTGATTGACAAATGCTAAGGAATAACGTGTTTTGTATTTAAAAATAAAATCAAAATTTTTATTTTTGACTTTCGATCAACGTTTACAATTGTTTAATTTTTGCAGTAATCCAATATTATAACTGCAAAAATTTATTTTATATTATTGGAGAATATTGTATTCTTGCGCTCTTGGCTTCTTGGGCTACCTATTTGCCTTTTCGCTTTAGTTTATTATAGCTGAATTTCTAATCATGATGAAAAATTAAGAATGGCATTTAAGTTACGACTCTTGATTTAAGAGCGTGAATTAAAAAAGTTTTCGCTGCAACGAAAAGAACAATTTTGTTGAAAAGTATAAAAATTTTGCTAAATACAGATCTAAAAATAATTTTTGTCAATAATCAAAATAATTTGTTGGAAAGTTAAAAATGATAGGCATTGTTATAAAACGTTTTAATATTCTAGCAATCATTTTGACTTTTCAACAAAATTATTTTGATTATTGAACAAAAATTATTTTCTGGATTTTTTGATCTGGATTCAGCAAAATTGTTCTTTCCGTGTGATAATGGTTTGAAACATCTGATGGTAGCCGAAACATCTGATGATTCATTTAATTAAGTAATATGAAATGTACATAAATGAATTAACATTTGCGCACAGCCCAAGCACAGAAACTTGCAATGTTGCAATATTGCTATAATATTGCTGGAACATTGCAATGTTGATGCAATATTGCTGCAATGATCTGTGTCGTATAGGAAAGAATCACATTGTATTCTAGCCAGCCTTTTGATTAATTATATTTGTATTATTTTGTTTTATTACTGATTAGGTATCTGTCATAATTACATCAAAATTTATGTTGCTTATAATTATGCCGACAAATGTTTTTATTCCTTGGCAATTGTCAACCAGTGTATACATATACACGACTAGATACATTCCATCTATAGAAAAATTCGTGTATTAAAATTATTCAGTTTCATAACAAATTAACTGTTGTGTAGTATAATATACCATACGTTATAACATACGTTTATAAATGCATTATGTCATAACGGATTTCTGCACCATCGATGGCATTATTAATTGTTTTATAGCATTTTTTTTTAATTTTCAATTTTCACACATCAGGACGTTATACTCACCTCAATCTTTCGAGTGGTAACCGCAGGCTTTACCACGTCAACCTGTTTCTGTAGTAAACCTGGTTGAGCTTCGATCGTGGTAACCGGTACTTGGGATATCGTCGGCACGTGCTTGACGAAAGGCACCGTGGCTACCGCGGGCACTTGAGCGGTCGCATATCCGACGTGATGCGTTTCAATCTGTGCGGGCGCTATATACGGAAGATGCGCCGCGACCGTCTGTACTGGCGTAACGGAGGTATATGCAAGGGGTACTTCCTGAAAGTTGTTCACATAGGTAACCCCAGCTGGATTCAAGTACGGCATCTTGACAGCTACATGATCGCACAGACCGATGTGCAGCAACGCTGCCGTTATCATGAATAACTGCATTCTGGAAATAAAATGTTGCGATAGAAAATTCCATTTAAATGATTGATGTGTAGTAAAAAATATGTATTTTCTGTTTGTATTAAAATCAGTACCTATTAAAATTTTTAACATTTTATTAAACTTTTTATCGAAGCGTTAATTTAACATAACGTGATTGCGTTATTTAAACTTTTTGTGTTAAATTGGTATTTAATATTTCTAATGTTAAAATAACACAATTTATGAGTAAATAAATGAATAACGTTAAACAATGCAGTTTTAAAATGTAAATTTTAAGAAATAAATAAATATATAATTATATAATTATATAAATATTAAATAGAATATTAAATATTTATTATAATTTTTATTATAATTTATTATAATTAAATATTAAATATTAAATATAAATATTAAATAATTATGGAAAGAACACTTTTGCTGAATCCAGATCTGAAAATAATTTTTGTTCAATAATCAAAATAATTTTGTGCGAAAGTCAAAATAATTGCTAAAATATCAAAACGTTTTATAGCAATGCTTATCAGTTTTAACATTCCAACAAATTATTTTGATGATTTAATAAAAAATTATTTTCAGATCTGTTTTTAGCAAAATTTTTAGATCTTTCAACAAAATCGTTCTTTCTGTGTATATAAGTTTATAATTATATAATAAATATATAATTAATGTAAGTATTAATTTAACATATTACAAATGTTAATTATATTGAAGAAATACGTGTCCGCTATTTACTTCTAAATTGTATCAAAATATTTTGTATTAATTTTTTAATACAAACTGCGTTAAAAAGTAGCACATTTATTTTATGTTAAACTAACACAAAGATTTGGATGGACACGATAAATATATTATATATAAATATTACATATAAATATATTATACAATTTAATAAAAATTTTTTAATTGTGTACGTGCATGTATGTGTTTGTGAAAATATTTTTTGCTATATCTATGCATGTAGCATGTACTCTTATAACGCATCCTTCGTGAACGATAAATTTGTGATTAAATGCGCGCATTTATAAATTTATAAAAAGACTACATCAATAATTTTGATTTATAAATTATTATCTTAATATTTAAAGGCAAAATAATTTTTCTGGAAATCATCACCTGTGAGAAAATACTGATCTTCACACACTTTAAAAACACCCGACTAATGATGCATGAAGCGATGAAGGGTTGTGAGACTGTTCTGACCGTGGCATTCGAGCTTGTTTATATGGGCACACAGTGGACATACAGCCGCCCCTTCCAGCGAAAGATAATCACATTGATGCCCCTTCCAACGATGCAAGGACCGGGCTCGCCAAGTCCGGTCAAAATTAGGTCGATCTGTCTCCATGTGCCAATTCAGGCTCGTAAATTCGGTTTATATCGATCAATTTGATGATATGGATATCGCGTATCTGGTTCTTTCGCAATTATTTGCAAACTGATAAATATTTTTGTTCCGTTACAAATCTTAAGTTTTAAATAAAGTTAATAAAGTTAATAATTATGATACTCGATCCATATCGCATTAACCGTGTTTAAGAACATTTTTTGAAATATTAGACTTCCGATCGAATATATTATTTGCGACGTAAATAAATTTGTAATAATTTCAACTTTCTATTGATTTATTGTATAACGAGCAATCGTTATTTTGCTTATTCTAACAGCATTAATTGATAGAAAGATAGAATAAATAAAAATGATCAATTAAAAGAAAACAATAATCAGTTAAGATAATACACAAGTCTGGCGTTGTTTTAAACAATTTACGTTATTAATAGGCCACAACTTGATTTAATTGAAAAACTTATAGTCATTGTACTATTATAAGTTATAATGTTTTTTCCATTTATAACCATTTCAATTCTAAATATTCCAACTACAAACTTTCTTTAATAAACATTCGAAAGTGAAAACATTGGGAGTTCGGTCAATAACACTTTTTGAACAGCCTTTCTCAATTATTATTATTCATGTCGAGTTCTCACCCTGGATCATTTAAAATTCCGGTACGGAATTGCGTGAGAATGTTTCAACAATGGTTTCCTTCTAGAATTTAATTTGTGGATATGCAAGATATCTTCCAATCTTAATCTTATTTTTACTTACAGATTTTTAATAAAACGCACACGTTATATATGTAAATCATTTCGAAAGATAAAAAAAATTATTAATAATTTAGAGTATATCAACTTAATTTCAAAACTTGTAAATTTCGTTTAAACAATAATAATTGTTTTTTATGAAATTAATAAAATAGATTATTCGAGAAAAAAGTTTTTAAACAAATTTATAATTTTTATTCAAGTTGTTGTAAGAATTTTGTACAAATCAGTAAGTCATTATTTATAGATAAGTTTAATATTAATAAAAAACATAATTGTATTTCTTAAAATAATTCTAAAAAGTAAAAACATTTTAACTATATGTACGCATGTACATACAAGTGTGTACGTGTATAACAAATGTTTTTACTCTTCTTTCAAGTTACGAAAGAAAGTAATAGTTTTAACCCGAACCGGTTTAACAGGTTTCATGTAAAATGTTATTTAAATATCGATCAATGAAAAGACATGCACTTTGTCGTTAGTGAATTCAATCAGTTTGAAAATATTGCTATGACCTTGACCTCTCGCTTTTTCGACAGCTTGATTGCGCAATTTTTAGTATATCGCATTATAATTAATAGTATGATGACGTTCTTTTTAAACGATAAAAAGAAGTGGGAGAAAATTCGTATAAATAAACAGATATAGATACGAATTACTAAAAAAAATGTAATAAAGTTAATCTAATCTTACGAGAAATGTGTAGCGATTACATATTTTTTAATAAGCAATCGATATTTGCGATACATGAGATACCTACATTATTTATAGATTAATATACAAGTAATTTTTTAAGTAATTATGAAAAAGAGAGAATTTTAACAGTGTTTAAAATAAAAACATTTAATAATAATTTTACGCAATTAAATGTATAATGTAATTTCTGCGAAACATATAAAAAGCGATAATAATTCTTATGTCTTCTGCTTTGACTTATATATCTTATATATTTATTTCTTACATCATCATATATATTTCATCTTATATATTTATTTCTACTTTATCAATATGATCAAAAGTAAAGCAAAGCATACATTCTTAGGATGTCTCGAATGTTGTCGTACCCAAAAAACTGGTCGTCCTTCGTAACGTAATACCAAAGCTATAATTTCCAGAAGTACACATACATACATATATGTATATGTTCTTATGTGGCTTATTCTTCTTCATGCAAACATAATGGTATCTATCTTGCACGATTACACGTTTCAGAGATATCGATACTGATATATATATATTTCAACAGTCACATTCACAGAGGCAGATATATTTCCTTACGTGTGTGTGTGTGTGTGTGTGTGTGTGTGTGTGTGTATTCTAGAGTGCTAATTAATATGTACACATCCTAATTTTGGTAATTTTTGATAAAAATAAATTTTTTGGCTAAAGTCGATTAATATATAAAATAATATTTCAGTAATATACATATATGTATATACAAAGTATTTTGTTTTAAATATCTCACAATCAGACAATATTTTTAACATTAAGCAGAATACAAAAAAATGTTTTGGAAAAAAATTATAGCATGAAGGGGAATAAATACTGGTAAAATTAATTTTTTGTAATTACATAGACCATTTCTTAAAATATAATTATGAAACTCTTTTACATAAGATAATTGTTTTGCATGTAAAATTATTAAGAGAAATTCTGTAAAAAATTAAGATCCGTATTCAGTTTGTACAATAAAGTTACGCATATATATTTAGCGTATAATTTTACGTATATTATTTTATGCTTATAAAGTTACGCGTATTTAGCGTTAAATTTATACGTTACACATATAGAATGGCTTAATCTTAAGACTTGTTAGCGCTTTGTTAGACAGGATCATTTATAACATTGTTACAAAAGTAACAAATGTTAGTATCTTGTAAGTTATAAGGCCTATACTCAGAAAGGATTTATATTGTTATAAATCCTTTCTGAGTACGAGGCATAATAACTTACGAGACATTTGTATTTTTTACTTTTTTCTAACATATTTTAATATAAAATATAAAGTATGTATTTTGTAAATTATTTATTTTTTAATAATTTTAATACTTTTACATACAGAATAATGACATAAATCAATTGATATAAAGAAAACAGTTATTTAAAAGAAAAATTACATAATTTGCAATATGCAATTACATATTTATTTGTAAAAAGCAATTATGTGTTTTAATTGAATCATAATTATTATTTTGTATGAAATTATTCTGTATTAATTGGTACACTTATCAAGAAATAAATAGTTTATGAGGTATTTTATGTCAAATATGTTAGAATAAAATATACAATAAAATATTTTATGAATTATTACTTTTTCGATAGATATATATCTTTGATAAAAATATTTGTATGTGCAAAATAAGAAAAAGCCAAATATAACTGATATTTGTCTGTGATATTTAAAATGTGACACTCTGTATATACATATATTGTAAAAAGATTAATTGTTGACAATAGTTTCTGTACACTATAATCATTTCCAATCGATTATCCCCATTTATAAAATGTTTATCATATCGCTGTAATGATTGCGGTAATAGTATCATTATATGTAATAAGGTGAAGGACATATTGCGCTTATTACACGTTTAAACACAAACGCACAAACGCACATATGTGATCGTTTTTATACAAAACGTTCATTTCAGATTATTATTTTTTTCTTTTATTTATAATAATTAGTTTTTAAATGATTGTATCAATATAAGATATAATTTTCTCTTCTCTCTCTTTTTCTCTTTCTTTCTAGTCAATCTTTCATCATTAAAGATTGTAATCTTCATTTTTTATACGATCATTTACAAGATAATTAATGATAAGTAAATAATAAGGTTTTAGTATTAATAGTATTTAAAAAAATGTTATGATAAAGTAATTAAAAGTTATTTATACTAAATTCTTTTATGTTCAAATTTTTGTACTTTTGGCTTACATTTTTTGCGTGTATAAATAATTAAATAAAATATTCAGTATCAGAAAAGACCGTGGAATGTTAACTAACAATTGAGATCTTAAAACGCCAACAACGGTACAAATTAAGCGGATCTTGGTGCTTCCATATAATATTAGTATGAATCTTACAATTTTCGGTTCATATAACACCACGTGGTCACGTGCATCTCCGTCCGGCAGACGTGGAGATCCGGGTTCGATTCCTGGCTGAGAACATAAGGTGATATTTTTTCGCAATAAATTCTTTATAGATTCGTATAGATGCAAGTTAGCACTTATTTGATGTCGCGAAGGGAAGAATTTCACAGGACTTGATGCTTTGAGCATCAATTTATTAGATTGCCTTTGGCAATTTAATCGTGATATTACATACCACTTGGTTCGGAGCTACGGAGATGCATGCGATTTGCGGCCACGTGGTGTTATATGAAACGAAAATTGTAATATTCACACTAATATTATATGGAAGCACCAAGATCCGCTTTGTACCGTTGTTGGCGTTTTAAGATCTCAATTGTTAAATAAAATATATTTCTCATTGCGTAGCATATCGGTTTTTTGTATTAACAAAAATTTGAGGAAAAAGATGTACAAATAAATGAGAGATAGGAAAGGAAGTATTACGTATCACAAAGTAAAACTTTAAAATGTTTTATGTGGATTTTAAAATGTTTTTATTAGTTAAAATTCTAATATTTACAAAAAAGTATAAATTAATAATCATTCGACTCAGCACCGTCGCACTTACCATCTACTAAATAATCGCGCAAGGCGGATTTATTGAAAAATCTTTTCGATTATAAATTACGTTCTGTTTGTTATTATATATATCAAGAAAATATTTTTAAAAAATTATATTTGTATCTTTTTTATGTGTGCTCTACAGATTTCCCTAAAGTTTGCTATATTTGTCATTTTACAAAAAAATTTATTTTGCGCTCTCCGAACAAAATTAAGCTATCTTTCGTTTATGTTTGTTTATGTGACTTTTCACGTGTGGAAATCATTTATAATTTAACGTAACTCACGTATAATATTTTATAAAAGTATTTAATATCATCCGAAAAGCATTGTTACGCCCAGGATTGAAATCGCATAAGAAGTAACCTGAACGTTTCTATTCATCGCGTTTATGAGCTAATATTGAAAGGTAGGCTTAGAAAGAATTACTAGTCATAAAATAATAAAATGAGATTAAAATCAATCATTGATTAGTATTAATAATAGAATAGAAATTTATCCAATTGATGGAAGGTCGAAGTAACCAATCAAAATTAAAAAGACCGAAAGAAACTAAATAAATTCACACTTCTAAATGTTGATCTTTTCGACTGACATTATTTATTATTTACATAAGTTTATTATGAAAAAAAAAAGAAAATTAAGCCGTCCAATAAAAAAGAAATACATTTAGAAAAGAAATAATATTTGGACTCTCTAATAGTAACGTTCAGATTTTTCTACATTTGTCATCATTTTTTGAAGACAACGACGAAAACGACAAAACTAATCACTCATTACTTCTGAGTGATGGTTGTCTGGTACCAAAACTGGGCTCCAAGGGCACCAAGAAGGTGACTTTTTCGCTAGCGTTAGCGTCGTCTTGTTTGAGAATAGATATATTCTTTCTGGACGGTCTTCGCGGTCGTTGTAGAACCTCTTCGTAAGTAGCGTATTCGGGCCTAACTGCTGGCCGCTGTTTCTTCAAGTAATACACGGCGGAGGTATTCTCCGGCACGTAGCTCTGCTGGGTCGGCTTCACCGTCTGAGGTATCGGGGTGACGCTATAACCGGCGTTAATCAGAACGGACAATTCTTCCTGCGTCAGAGGCTGCTGATCCTTGGGAGAGGGAGCGCGCACAACTTGTGGGCTGCTTAGCTGGCCTTGATCGATAATCTCTTCGATGGTAAGAGATTTAACCGGCGACTTCTTCAGGAGACCCGATTGAGAAACATAAACGGAGGCCTGAGTCGGTGGAACTTTGAGTTTGTGTGCTTGACGAGGCTGATTGATAGCAGGTTGAACGTAAGCTTGCTCTTGAACGGATTCACCGGATTCATCTGGTTTAGTCACGGATCTGGGGGCGTAGGTGGAGCCGGAAGCCTGATACTTGTTCACGTCGTCATTGGTGAAGTAAGTATTAGGCGTGGGGAGCTTGGGAGTATTGGGTAAGAGGTACTGGATAACTGGTGTACCCTCGGGATTTACCTTCTTAGCCTCTGCCTGGGCTCGGGCGGCCGCCAAAATCTCACTGTTGGCTTTGGCGCGTGATTGTTGATAGGCTTTGTACAACGCCTGGGCTTGAGCCTCCGCTAGTGCCTGGGCTTGGGCCTGGGCACGTATTTGATTCCTCTCAAAGTTCAAAGCGTCGTAATGTGCCTTCTCCTGGGCTCTCACATGGGCCTGCTGCTGAGCCTCGACTTGCCGTATGGCGTCATTATGGGCCTTCTGTTCAGCGGCTATCTGTATCCTCCTGGCTTCGGCGGCTTCGGCAGCCGCTTGCGCCTTCAATTTTGCCCTATACGCAGCCTCCGGATCCTTGGGTTCCACCTGATCCGCGATGTGAGCTCGTCCGGCGTCGCTTACGTGATCTCCTTGCTGAATTTGCTCCAAGGCGCTTTGTTGCCTGTATCTCTCGTGATCAATTCTGATCTGCTCCAGGGCCGCCTCGTGATGTTTTTGATATGAGGCCTGGGCAATTTTCTGAAAAGCTAAGGCCTGCGCCTCAGCCTGGGCCTGAGCTCTGGCGTTCGCTATGGCTTCCGCCTGGGTCTGCCCTTGGTGAGCTTTCAACTGAGCGCCGTCGTCCACGTACTCATATTGCGGAGACGGTCTGAAAGGCTGGACTCCTTTGGCCGAATAATCTGCCGCTGGCGCCGGTTGGTACTGAATCTGGACCGGTTGCTCGATTGACTGATAAGTCGCTGCCACTCGTTGCGGCGGATAACGAGGAGGCGGACTAGTTTCGATGTGGTATTGTTCGGGGTGAGTTGATGGTGCTACCGTGGATTTGATGTACTCTTGTTGCGCATAGCCGGTTTTAGGCTGCGTCGGGATCAAATTAAACTCTTGGGCCTGATTGGCGGATACCAATTGCAGCAACTCCTGTTCGAACGAGCCCAGTTTGCCAGGTGAAGTGTAAGATTCTACTTGGTACGTGGATGCTCCGGATGGACCGCGCGCCGCCTGAGCTTGCGTCACAGCCTCGGCTTGAATCAACGCCTGGGGATGTAGCTGAGGTCTGGGAGGGACCACGGCGGGTTTGCGATAATTGTAATACGCCTGCTGCAATGCCTGTTGCTGTTTGGCATAATCTGGAAGAGGCCTACGCTGAGGCGCATTGGGCCTCGCGGCGTACGCCTGCGGGTCAGTTCCAGTGAATTGTCGCAGGACAGCTAAGTATTCGGGCGATAGCTGAAATTTACACATTTTTCTGCTTTAGTGAAACATTTGCGTTAAAGCGATAAGTTGTTTTAATCTTAATGGAGTCTCAATCAGTATTAAAAAGGCGGCGGCTAACAGATTTCAAGCATGTGCAACATTCGATAATATTTTAAATATAAGGTTACAAGCTATGTATAACTAAATATTATACGTGCAACTAAATAATTTCGAAAATTAAGCGAATGTAAACTGATACGTATAAGATATCGCTGCAGATAAGATATCGTATAACATACACAACTGCTGTAAACAATTTTATCGTTCTAATTGATGAACTTTCTCAGATATTGAGACTTGCAATTGGAAATAAAAAATAAAAAATGAAATAAATTAATAATTAATCATAAGACAATGCGGACAAGAGCAACAGATCGAAGGTGACAGATCCCGTCTCGCTTCATCTACGTATTGAATGAACTTGATCTTACGAGCAGACCGCAAACAAATGGTCGAAGGTTACCGCTCCGTGAATGAATAGTCACAACACGGCGGATGAGCCATGAGTAACCGATAAAGAAGCGACGGTCACGAAAGTGACTCATCTCGCTATAACGGTACACAAGGCCGCGAGGAAGGCTATAATTCTATAAGCGTGCGAGGCTTGATATAAAACTGGGAACCCATACCCGGCTGTTAGTGGGTGTGGTTGTACCGGTTCTGTCAGGTCGGGGCGATTAGAAGGCGTGCAAACTTGCAAGCGTTATGCAAGCGAGTCGATTGCATTTGAGCAGCGGCGCTGCGCCGTGCGATCACGAGCGACCGCGTAGGAGACACACGTATCGACAGATCTCGTTACTTTTTCTTATAACCGAATCTATTCGTGAACGTTTATTTATTAATCTAATATTGTTTATGCCAATCCAAGCGATGGTAATTAATAGTAATAAAGATTTATTCATATTCTTGCGCTACTTTCTTTTGGGACATTTTATAATATTTTATGGAATATAATATTTCTGTTTAACTTGATTTGTAATGTGAGAAACTATTATTGCTCATTAACAAATTATATTTATCATTTACTAATGTGAGTATATTTTACTATTTAGTTGATATCAAGAAATATACGAAGTATATGAATAAAAATAGACTGTAATACAATAACTGTAGCTTATTTTATTATCAAAGATCGAAATAGAGAGAAATGGATATATTAATTTTGTTGAAATTTTTATTTTGCTTATTGATTTCTGTCCCATTCGATCTTCGTAATTAGCTGATAAATTATTTTTCTTCAGCATATATTTTTACAAAAAAGTAATATTGTGCTAAAGATATCTTTATTTTATATATTATGTATAGATAATTACATTGCGATAAAAATTTGAAAATGTTCGAAAAATTCATTGCATTGAAGATCATTAAGGTAGAGGATATATAAATAAGTATAAAATTTTTGAAAATATATACTTGGTTCGTTGTCCCTATATTATATTACTTATATTCTATGCACATTATAATAAATTTTTAATAATATTAACTACAAATATTCATTTTTATTCTGAAAGTACACCACTTCAAAAGTAACATAAATTGATGTTAATTTTAAATTTAGTCTTGTAAGAGTATAATTTTTTTTCTTTAAAGAAAGAACCAAAGCACTGAGTGAGAGTGAGTGAGTGAGTAAGAGAGAGAAAGAGAGAGAAAGAGAGAGAGAGAGAGAGCTGTCTCTTATACACATCTCTGAGCGGGCTGGCA